CTAGAGACTCGTAGTAGCACACTTCGCACTTCCGGAATTCTATCGCAAGCAAACAATAACATACATAAGCACTCAAACAAGAAGCACGGGTAGAACTCAAATAAGAATATCTAACTAGAAAGTTCAACTGAAGAACTCCGGGTTGCAAACAGAATCAAATCAAACGAAGCAACGAAACTCAAACTAAGAAAGAAACAAGATTCGTTTACTAATCTGGACTACAGTCAAATTTTACAGTACCAAAATCTTATTCAAGTTGGTTAAACATAAAGAGGGCTTCGAGATGAAGATCTAGGCGCTGGTTTCATCTGATTCGGATAAACGAGCTAAAAGATAAACTAGAACAAAGATCAGGGCAAAAATCGCGATCGAAAATAATCACGGAAAAACCCTGGAAAATAAAACGAGACGAACAGGCTAACGAACGAACGTTCGCTGTCTGCGGCTAAATGGCGAACAACGTTCGTTAAAACGAACGTACGGACGAACGTCCGCTAAATAACTAAACCGAAAAAAATGAACCGATCGAATAAAAAAAACTAGATCTAGGTTTCTAAAAAAACCGACGGTTTTCCGGGAAAAACCTGGACGGCGGCGGCGGCGTCTACCTCCGGCGAGGCCCGACAGCGGTGGCAGCGGCATCTCCGGCGGCTGGGTCGGCGGCGGTGTGTCCGGCGGCGGGCGGTCGGCGGCGGCGCGACGGTGAGGCGGCGGCGGCGGGCGGCGGCGCGCGAGGTGGCCTTTGAAATGCTTGCCTTTCTTTCGACATTAATGTTTCGTCGGAAGGAATCGACGATGCCCCAGGTACACATTCTTCCTGCATTTGTCCATGTATATACTTTCGGTGTCATCTAAACGGTGCGTGCATGCGTGGTATCCCTTGTTTGTCTGTCCTGAAAGGTAACTGAGAGCAGGTCAATCATTGATGGTGACAAACAACAATGCATGCACGTCAAATTCGTCCTGTTTGTGCTCATCCCACGCACGTACACCGTTTCTAATCCATAATTGTAAAAGTTCTTCGACTAATGGCCTTAGGTACACATCAATGTCGTTGCCCGGTTGCTTAGGGCCTTGGATGAGAACTGGCATCATAATGAACTTCCGCTTCATGCACAACCAAGGAGGAAGGATATAGATACATAGAGACACGATCTAGGTGCTGTGATTGCTGCTCTGCTCCCCAAAAGGATTAATGCCATGCATGCTTAAACCAAACCATACGTTCCTTGCGTCACCTGCAAACTCCTCCTAGTACTTTCTCTCAATTTTTCTCCACTGCGACCCGTCAGCGGGTGCTCTCAACTTCTCGTCTTTCTTACGGTCCTCTCTGTGCCACCGCATCAACTTGGCATGCTCTTTGTTTCTGAACAGGCGTTTCAACCGTGGTATTATAGGAGCATACCACATCACCTTGGCAGGAACCCTCTTCCTGGGGCGCTCGCCGTCAACATCACCAGGATCATCTCGTCTGATCTTATACCACAATGCACCGCATACCGGGCATGCGTTCAAATCCTCGTACACACCACGGTACATGATGCAGTCATTAGGGCATGCATGTATCTTCTGCACCTCCAATCCTAGATGGCATACAACCTTCTTTGTTGCATATGTACTGTCGGGCAATTTGTTATCCTTTGGAAGCTTCTTCTTCAATATTTTCAGTAGCTTCTCAAATCCTTTGTCAGGCACACCATTCTCTGCCTTCCACTGCAGAAATTCTAGTATGGTACCAAGCTTTGTGTTGCCATCTTCGCAATTGGGGTACAAACCTTTTTGTGATCCTCTAACATGCGATCGAACTTCAGCTTTTCCTTTTCACGTTCGCACTGTCTCCTTGCATCAACAATGACCCAGCGGAGATCATCATCGGGCACATCATCTGGTTCCTCTTGATCTTCAACAGCTTCCCCCTTTGCAGCATCAACGTATTCAGGGGGCACATAGTTGTCATTGTCCTCTTCTTCTTCACTGTCTTCCATCATAACCCCTATTTCTCCGTGCTTGGTCCAAACATTATAGTGTGGCATGAAACCCTTATAAAGCAGGTGGGTGTGAAGGGTTTTCGAGTCAGAGTAAGACTTCGTATTCCCACATATAGGGCATGGACAACACATAAAACCATTCTGCTTGTTTGCCTCAACGCCCTTAATGTACTCGGAGGTGTGTCCATCACCGTACGTCCATTGCCGGTTCATCCGCGTGCATTATATATAATTAAGTATGTCAAAAACCATTACAGAACATCATGAATAGATAATTAAGTGACCAAATTAATAGAAGTTCATCATCACATTAAAACAAAGTACATACATAGTTCTCATTGAACAACATATAGCACTCCAGAGCATCTAATTAAACCATACATTGAAACTATGTAAAACATTTCAATGCGAAAACAAATGCGATCATAATCGCAACCAAGGTAACAATTGATCCAACGGCATAATGATACCAAGCCTCGGTATGAATGGCATATTTTCTAAGCTTTCTTATCTTCAAGCACATTGCATCCATCTTGATCTTGTGATCATCGACGACATCCGCAATATGCAACTCCAATATCATCTTCTCCTTCTCATTTTTTTTATTTTTTCCTTCAAGTAATTGTTTTCCTCTTCAAGTAAACTTAACCTCTCGACAATAGGGTTGGAATTTTCGGTTCACATACCTCAAGTAATTATATCACATTGGTCGGCATAATTGTCATAAACAATAAATGAACCAAATAGTTATAAAAGATAATATATACCATATCAGAATCATAGACAGGACGAGGGCCGACGGGGGCGGATACCAAAACCATCGCACTATATAATAAGAAGCAATAATAAAAGTAAGAAAATTATACAAATATCTATCTAAACATACAAGTAAGACTTTTTTTCTTTTCAGAAAGAAGATAAGAACAAGAGGCTCACCACGGTGGTGTCGGAAACGAGATCGACGCGGGCAATCGACGGCGGTGAAGACGGGGACAGGACGTGACAGACCGCTAAACCTAGACAAATATTGAAGAAAATGGAGCTTAGAGGTCGAGGTTGCAGAGGAGAAAGCTTAAGTAGTGTGGCTAGGGCATTCCATCGAACACTTCATGTGCATAGGAGGTGAGCTAGAGCACCACAAAGCCCTCCCCTTGCCGGCCAAAAAAAAAACAGAGCAGTGTGGAGTGCTCTGCTCGCCGGCGAACGGGGTATATATAGGCATCACATTGGTCCCGGTTGGTGGCAGGAACCGGGCCAGGTGTGAGGCCCATTGGCCCCGGTTTGTTCCACCAACCGGGACCAAAGTGACCAGACGAAGCGGGACCAATGCCCCCACGAGGCCCGGCAGGCCCCCTGGCCTCACGAACCCGGACCAATGCCCCCATGGGTCCCGGTTCTTGGCTGAACTGGGACTAATGGGCTGGCCTGGCCTGAACCAAAGCCCTGTTTTCTATTAGTGTTAAGAAGCGAGGTGTGACTGAACCACCAGCTATTTTTGCCGAGTTTTTTCGATCGGGAACTCGGCAAAGGAATGAACCGTGCACTTCTAATAAAAAAATGAATATTGGAAAATGTTTCAAAGACAAACCAGAAACGGAATTAAACAATCCCACTTGTTTAAAAATATAGCGATTCATAAAAGAGTCGAGCAGTCAGCAATGCTCACTTTGTGAGTGATACAAACTGTCACTATAATACTTCTGTGCTTAAGATAAGCAGAGAAGATTTGCTTATGTTAAGCAGAGAAGATTCATAGTGACAGTCATATCTTCCATAAAGGGCGCAATGATGACTTTAGCTTACTGCTTCTAGACGACGCGGCAATTTAAACTGGTCCCGTGGCTCCTCAAGAAATGAGGCGGGACTAAACCATCAGCTTTGTTTGCCGAGTTCTTTTTGTTGGGAAATCGGAATGATATGACCCCTGGAATTACGTTTAAAAAAATAAATAATAAAAAATATTTACCGAGTTGCCGTTAGGCGAAAGTCGGCAAACGAAGAGCGCCGTCACGGCTCCGTCGCTTGCTGCAAGGAGTAGCCTACATGTTCGCCGAGTTTTCTGTCTGGAACTCGGTCAAATTTATATTCTGCCAAGTTTGTTTTGTTCGTCGAGTCATTTTTTATCAGAATCCGGCAAAGGCACAGCTCCGCCTAGTTGCTTGTCGCTGCCGAGTCGGATTTTGGTTCAAACTCGGCAGACATAAGTTTGCTGAGTTCCCGATAGAATTAACTCGGCGAACTCTTGGAACTCGGGACAAAACCAGATTTTAGTAGCGTTGGTACTCCCTCCTTCATGAAATATATTAGGCGTGTAAGCTTTCCAAAAAGTTCCCGAAACGTAAGTCGTTTTAGGTGTTAGCATGCACTATTTTCTCTCTTTTATGGTTCGTTGGTTGGGAACGAGTGCTAAAAATCGTGGATTGGTGTCACGTTGTGATTACAACTTGGCGCTTGGTGCGGTCGATGGACCAGTCAATCCAAGTCTGCTTACGATACTGTGGAGGAATCGTTAACCGCATGGCTCAGCAACGACCAGGTTAGTGGTTGGGGTGGGGGAAAGAAAATGACACAGTTGGCGACTAGCTAGGTATTAGTCAGACCAAACCTCCAAGTTATCAATGTTGAACAAAACTATACGCGTTAAGTCTAGCTGCATCAAGACATTAGCTACCTTCTCCAAGGCAGTTGACCCGTGAATGGATCTGGATCTGAGTATATTGATCCCATTCCCAGCACTGCTTCACCGGGCCAGAGCATCTCTTCTTCAACCACACGCATAGCTGCTGCTTCTCTACAACTAGGCTCTCAGGGTCGATCGTGTCTGGTGTTTCACGCAAGAGATTGCCAAAAGGGACGATCTGGTAAGTTTATCTAGCTCCTGTTAGTAAAGTTGAGCATGTTGTCTTTGTGTTCTAAGGAAACAAATTTTCGTCATCAGTGAATTGGGAATTGAATGTCAGACATACCTCTCCTTTTGTTGTTGTAGAGGAGATATATAGGAGAGATCCATAAATGGCAGAGGAGGCCAATGGAGTGGTAGATGGACGAGGCGAGGAAGCCCGCAACCACAAGTCATGGTCTGATGTGTGGGCGCATTTCGAGCGTTTCTTAGGCGCCGATGGGAGGCAGAGAGCAAGGTGCAAAAAGTGCGGCATAGAACTATTGGCTGAAACCAAAAATGGCACCAGTCGCCTTGGACGGCATGCCCGAGACACTTGTCCAGGGAATGGTGGTGCTCCAGAGCAGCAGCAAGGACGCCACAGGAAACGTGCAAGATCACTACCAATTCTTCGTGAATCACCAGGTACCAGTAAGCTTGCCATGGAGGAAGCTAATGCAGACCTGGCTAGAATGCTGGCCTTTCATGGATACCATCCATCTTTTGTTCAAGACAGATACTTCCGGAGCTTCGTGCGACGGCTTAACCCTGATTTTCAGATACCCTCATGGGATGCCATTCAAGAGATGTCCAATGGTATCCTGGAAAAAGCACGGAGGGATTTCAGCTCTGAAATAGATCGCACTTCTTCAAACCTCAGTTGGGCAATAGACACAGTTGAAACTGTCGACGGGATAGCCTTATATGTTGCGTGCCACTTTATAGATGATGAATGGAATCTTCGTAAGATGATCATGGATCAGTACGGAGTTGCAACTCGCCACTATTTCCCCGAATTAGGTAGCAATACGTATGAGTACTGTCTCAAAGATGGAGATGACTGCTCGACGGTTGCTGAGTGCATAGGTTACCTTGATGAGTTAGCTAATTGTTTCAGCATGATAGTCGGAAAAACCGGTAATCTGATGGATTACTTGGCCTTGGAGAAAGATTCAGGTGTTGTTCATAAGTCCACCTTTGTGAACGTAGTGCTTCACTCAATCGCCCAATGTCTTTTTGACAATCTAAAACTAGAATTCTATTTGGATGTATGCTTCGACATGTCGATTGCGGAAACTAGTCAAGAGGTTTATTCACAGCTTGGCATGGATGAGCTTCGACCATACCAAAACCAGTGGTATTTATGCTATTGTTGTGTGCAATTTCTTCATCACAATAGAGATGATGAAGTTTCAGAATTCGAGAAATTATTGAGCAAGCTTTGGGGAGAAATATACCGTGCCATTAAAACTGTCTCTGATCCCAGTTTTCCAACTTCACATCTTGGCCTTGTGGAATTGTTTAAGATCAGAGACCTTTTGCAGTCTGAACTGACAAGAGCCAGTGGAGATACAACACCAACTTACGAGTACAGTTGTTTTGACAAGGATGTTAAGCATGTTCTTGAACTTGCAAAAGGCGAAGTAGACAGGAGCATAGAAGATTCATACCGTGTATGGTCCTTACCACTTGTGCTAGACCCCAGATACAAACTCGGATACATAGAATTCAAGTTCCCTAAGGTGTTTGGCACTGCCGCAGTGGCAGAAAACAATATCTCCAAGGTAAAAGAATTCCTCAGGAAGACATTTGATGATTACGATGAAGATGATGAAACCACTGATGGAGATCCAAGTCATATCACTACATTAGATCAAGCATGGTATGAGCAGTACTGTTTAGAGGATGGCGTGGCAGGGCCACAGGTAGCTGGCACAGAACTTGATCGTTACCTCCAAGATCCTCTCGTCCCTCCAACAGACATTTTTAACATTCTGAACTGGTGGAAGGTTAACAGCTCAAACTACCCGAAGGTGGCTAGGATGGCAAGGGATGCTCTGGCCATTCCCACAAGCAACAGCCTTTCCTCTGAACAAATCTCCGTGCTCAATCTGTTGATATATAAAAAAGCGTCAGTATGACATGATTCACCAGTCCATGTAAGACACTAAAGAGCAGTCTAGCACCATACAAACATTCATCAGTTCTTGAATCTACCCATCCAGTTCCAGACTTCCAGGAGTGTGGCCTTTGTTGTCAGCTTCTTCCACCTAGCTCCTTGCTTGTGTCCCTTCATTATTTGTGCTGTTTTCTTGTTGAAATGTAATAAACAACCCTCTTCCATATGCTTCTAGTGGTAAGGCGGCGGATGATGTTTGTTCAGATAGAAGTTAAAAATTATCTATTGTAAACAAATATATGTTACGTACACTTGTAGTTGGCTGAGATCACTTGTGGTTGTCCAGTATCTTCTGTTCATGCGTCCCTCTGACTGATAAACATCATCACTAATTCTACACTCAAGTTATGAACATTGCGATGCATGGAACACTAGAAGTTTGCCTGATTCGGCATTTACCTATTGCCTGCGCACGCACCAATTTATTTCACAGAATTTGTTCGTATACATTTTGGAAGCAATACAATCTATGTACCTATTAAATGTACATGTAATTAACACAATTACATGTCACTAATTATGTAGTACTAACATTTTACACACACATATTTGCAGGCTTGGAAGATCATAGGGCAGCAAATATCATTGAATCACAGTAAAACCGAAAATCATTCTTTTGCGAAATACTATAGTAGGGTTTCGGCCTCCGACCTCCATTGCTAGAAGAAAACGAGCTGGAGGAATGTCACACTGACCTACTGGTAGTCCGGGTTGAGTGGGAGCACCTGATAGGGGGGGGGGGGACGACAAGCTGGCTCAGCGGCGGTGAGAGAAACTGGCTAGCTAGACCAGGGCAACTGGTTCAGTTCATCATTTTTTCGTGTTGGGCAACTGGGCCGTAATTTTTCTTGGACAAAGTACAGCTAGGGCCTGCTGTTGAAGCAGATAAGGCCCAGTAACAAACATCAGGCCTAATATAAAATTTAGGAGAGCAACTAGTTGACGAGCGCTCCTTCGGGAGTCCCACAACGATCCGCGCCACTTGGCGCGCTCTCAGCCATTGCCACATGTCGCGTTCTGGTGCTCCCTCTGGATTTTTTTCCGCACGTATTTTCGGCTTTTGAACGGGTTTTTTTAACTTTTTGGTCTTCCACCGATCTTCCTTAGCTTTTGGACCAAACAAAAATTTTGTGGAACTTTTTTTCATGAAAAAAGTGTTTTTTGCTTCCGTGAGAGGCACGGTTTGCTTTCGCGAGAGGCACAACTGTGCCTCCCAGAAATGAAAAAAACACGTTTTTCGTAAGTCACGGTTTTTGCTTCTGTGAGAGGCACAATTTTGCTTTCATAAGAGGCACGACCGTGCCTCTTGGAAACGGAAATAAACGTGTTTTTTTCTTTCGCGAGAGACATAGTTTTACTTCCGCGAGAGGTATGGTTGTGCTTTCTCGAGAGGCACGACTGTGCCTCCTGAAACTGGAAAAAACGAGTTTTCTGTTGTTTCTTTCCTTCGGCCAGAGGCACGGTTTTGCTTATGCGAGAGGCACGATTGTGCTTTCGTGTCGTGCCTCTCGGAAACCAAAAAAACACATTTTCTGTTTTTTTTCTTCCACGAGAGCCACGGTTTTGCTTTCGCGAGAGGTACGGCCGTTCCTATTTCGGAAAGGGAAAAAACCATGCTCCCGGTTTTTTTCATGAATTTTTTTGTCAAGATCTATCAACATGGGATCTAGTTTTGAAGATCTCGACGTGAGATATCCAATGTTGAAAACGGTTGGAGATTTGGACGCACGGTTTGAGAAATAAAATGTTTTGAGTAAACGGATCTACGAAAAAAGGGAAACTCCCAGGTTGCAACAAGTGGCGCACATGCAGCGTGTCACTTGTTACAACCTGGAGAGGTGGGAGTGATCTTTGCAAATAGTACTCCTCAATTAGTGATTTCAAAATTTAAGTTACATGCTGGTTTTAGATCCATATAGTATTTTATTTAGGGGTGCCTGGAACTTAACTGAATGAGATATAGTTTGGTCTCATTCAGATGACATATCGATGACGTCCTGCCGGTTCGTGTCATCCTTTTCTGGTGGGCCTTTCTTCGCTCTATCCCGCCACGACCATGCATTGGTTGTTATACGTGTCTCTTTTCGCTTTCTTGGCCAGGCCCAATTCAGTTGTTGGTCATTTTTTTCTCGAATATGCACTAGTGTGCATATGATATATTAAAGAAGAAGGGCAAAAGAAATGCCTCCACCGTAGTTACAAGCGTTTCAAAACACTTTACTCCTCACATCTATCCCACCTCGCTAATCGACTAAAGAAGGGGTTTAGATCTCCTTTTAGCAGGCCGGCCGACAACCACACTAAACCCTCTAGCCTAATTCTACTTAGTAGCACCTCACACGAAGGCCGTGCTCCGTCAAAGACAATTGCATTCCTGTGCTTCCATAGTTCCCACAAGGTTAGCCCTAGGATGGTTTGGTCCTGGTTTGCTGCACATCCACGGTGTGAGAGTATCATGCAGTGACGGCTCCAAGTCTGGCCTTCCCAGATCTCGATCCAGATCGTCCTGGCAAAGACACAGGTGAGCAATAAGTGATTAATTGTTTCCTCCTCCTGGTCATAAAAGTGGCACCCGTCCTGGTGTGGTAGTCCTCGCCTTGCCAGGCGCTCCGACGTCTAACGTCTATCTTGTAGAGCATGCCAAGTGAAAAATTTGCATTGCGAGGGTGCCCGTGATTTCCATGTTAGGTTCGCCGTAGGTACCACTTCCCTCGCCCAGAACTTGGCCGCATATGCCGAGCGAACCGTGAACTCTCCGTTGGCCTCCCAAGACCATGAAATTTCATCCTGCATGTTCTCTGTACGCTCCCAAGCAATAACCTTGGGCCAAAGTAGAAGGAATTCCTGCAATGCGTCCGGTCCTATGTTCGGACCCACATCCTGGGACCATGATCCATCCTCCATGGCCTGCCCAAACATCCTGGTAGTTCGAATCCGTGCTACGATCATGTTGTAGATCAAGGGAGCAACCTCCTGTACCCTCTGCCCATTCAACCAACGGTCCTCCCAGAAAAATGCTCCTTGTGGCTTCCTGGAAGAGGAACATGGAGTCCTTGGGTACTTTGATTTTGAATTCATTCCAAGGCCTGGTAGTGTCGGTTCTTTCGAGCCAGGGCCATCTAGTCTGCATAGCCACATTCATCTAGCGCAAGTTAGGAAATCCTAGACCACCTGCCCATTTCGGTGTGCACACTGTCTCCCATGCAACTACACAGTTTCCACCATTAGCTTCCTTCCTTCTGCACCATAAGAATCCCCTACATATCTTGTTCATAGCTGCAATCGTTTTCATGGGCAGGTCCAACGCCATCATCGCATGAATTGGCATGGCACATAGTATGGACTGGACCAAAGTCAGCCTTCCACTCTTCGGCATTAGAGCGGCTCTCCACTTAGGAAGTTTGTTAGCCATCTGATCCACCAGGTATTGCAATTGAGGCGCAATCTGCTTTCGTAATGACAATGGCAGCCCAAGATACTTGATAGGAAACGATCCCAAGGGGCACCTGAGTTGTGTGCATACCATGTTGATTTCATCATTTGTACATCGAATCCGCAATGCGGCTGACTTGTTCATATTGATCCGTAGGCCAGACCCTTCGCCA